CTTAAAATACCCTACACATGCCAATTTCTATTTGCATTTTCTTTCCATGCCTACAATATGATTTGGAAGTGCAGCCCAGTCTTTATGACATGTGCTCGAAGCTGTTTCTTACTTTAGAGAGCCACAGGCTTTATTGAGAACAAAATTACAATAATCAAGCCTCCTCCTTATGCATATGATCATGCATTTTTTTTTTCTGCAGCCAATCGGAACAATAAACTCACCTCAACAGTTCTTATCTAAAACGCAGAACTCCTTCAAAGTTCACAGCTGAGAGGTTTACAGTTTTGAGTAAAACCCTGAAGAAGACAACATACTAGCATAATTTATGGCACCTTGTATCTGGGCGAATCCCGTTCATGCATTAGGCCACTTCAGTCTCACTTAAGTCTTCTCTACTTATTCTTCTGGGAATATTTTGCCTAGAATTCTGAAACTTCAGATAAGCAGTTTTTAAGTTCACATGCACTCAACAGTTAAGGGAATGTTAAAAAAAAACAAAAACAAACAAACAAAAAAAAAACAATGAATACTAGAACAATCTCTGCTCTTAAAAGTGTCACTTCAGAGCCAAAGTTGAAAAGCCTAGCAAGTCTCCTAAGCTGAACACAGTTAAGGCAAAAGGTACCATTTCAAACATGGTAACTTACAGAAATGATCCACACAAGTATAGTTAAATCAAAGAATTCAGCTTCACATCAAACCTGATTTTGAGCTTGACATACATTTTGCTATGCATGCAGCACAAATGCATAAATAAAACAGTAAGAAAAGCTTGTAAACTCCACAGTATTAAAAAACAGACAAACAAAAAAACCTAGGAAAGAGAGATGTTCACCTTAAATTTATCTACACTACTTTTTAAACCATTGAAAAATCAAAACAAGTTGAAAACATAATAGATGTGTCATAGCCTTTGAAACAAGAAGTCTTTTGTTTCTGATGTTAAATTTAATCCTCTCATTACTCTTGTTGTAAGGAAATTCTTACCACATCACAATCCAAAAATAAAAGATGATCAAACCACACAGCTTGACCAAGATTACAAAGCATAGACTTGTTTGTATCCAAGACAGTTTGTGGGACAAAAAAGAATTCAGTCTTGACATATCCCATGGACAGATCTGCATAATCTTCTGCAGCTATATATGCTTTCAAACAAGAGTTTCACGACATTTCTGTGAAAGGACAGATGCTTTTGCTTTGCCACTCTCGCTGGATATTTAAATGAATCACAAGATCTCAGGCCTCCTGATGGCTTAAGAGGACTTGGAACCAATCATTAGTTGAAAAAAATAGAAAAATATCAGGTATGAAATTACAATGTAAATTCAGTCCAATCTGAATTTAACTTTACAGCGTATTACTATACTTTTTGCATAAGTTTTATTTAGAATTGTTAATATAGTGCAGCTTCCAAAGAAATCTACCATATTATTTTGTTCTTAAATATATTTCTATATTTGTTTTATTTCAGCAGTAGTAAATGATATATTAAATAGCATAACAAACTCAATACAACAGTATATTTTTGATTGATAACTATGAATATATCTTAAGAATTTAAAAAAGGATTACTTTTCTTTCTGGCATATTTTGGTTTGATAGTACAATGTAGTTACTCTTCAACTACTTAAAATATAGCTAGTAAATGACTACACGACTATAACTTTACTCTTTCAACTTCTCCTTTGCAATTCCGTATTCGCTACTGAAAACACAGCTACCAAATACCTAGATACTTATTACCAGTATCTCCACAGTACTTCCACAATATTCTTTCTGTTCTCATGGTTTCTAGTGCTTTTCTTTATATTCCAAATGTTAGAATTGGGTCTAAAACTTACTGTGAATAGTTAATTACAACTTTAGAAGGATTCTACATATTATGATAGCATACCAAAAACACTGCATAGAAGAACTATTTTGCAAAAAGGAAAGAATGTGGAGATGGGGATTAATGCAAAATTGAAGGTGTTCATTATCAGGAAATTCTCTTAGCACATGATTTCCCACAATTTTGGTAAGTTTTTGTTTGTTTGTTTGTTTTTACTATTTCTTAACTTCATGTTTTAAAGGATGAAGCCTTTGGATAACTGAATGAGTGTAGCAGAAACTACACTATGAATTCATGACCTCTGAGATATTCCAAGTCTTATTCTCTCAATCTTTTAACTTGAACCGATAGCACTGAACAAGTCTCGTGAAAAGGTGATTGCGACAAAAGCAGAAATATTTTAACAGACTCATGACATGCCATTTATAATAGCTGATGATGTGGCACAAAACTCCTTTACTGGCAAATTAGTGGAGGGTTAAAGGCTATTATTCTTCCCACAAGATTCCTCACCACAAAATATGCCTTAGAGAGATCTTTTGTTCCTCCAGTTGTGTTAGGTTATTGCTCAGTTGATTTCATCATCAAAGTAATTTGCCCTCTACAACTTGAGCTTTACAGACCTCCATAGAGTAAGTGTTCTTGGTATGCTGGAATAAAAAGAACCAATTCTGGTATCTTGTGCAGTTATCAGTAATACTTTCAGCTAATAAAACATTTGCAAATACAATTACTAAGCTTTTAGTTTGTTATAAATGGCAAAACTCAATTTCTCTTACCAGTTATAAGATTTTTTTTCAATTTTGTAAGCATAAGGTCTATTACATTATATGGGTTTGATTTACTTCCCCCATTATCAAGTTTCAAAGGTGAGATCCTTTGTTTTAAAGGCAATAAGGTCTCAGAATTGTTTTATGAAGCAGTTTTGTCTGTATGACAAGTGGACATATTGCACAAAGGCCTATGTAAGTACCTCCCCCTCAAGCTGAGCAAGATTTTAACTTCCCTGAGTTGTTCCTCCTATGGAGTATTATTGTGGCACTGAGAATAGAAATTATTAATCAGAACTATTCTGACACTTACTAGGACCAAAATCAGTATGGACAGAGAACTGGCTTGACACCTACGTTGGTCAGAAAAAAACAGAAAGAAACAAATCGAACTAGAAGGTGAAGCTTAAGAAGGTGAAGCTGGGCAGGAGCCAGGAACAAAGAGGGAATGAGTAACAGGAATCAAAGAAAATCAAGAACATAAAACAGGCATGGGGACAGATTGTTTCGGGATCTGTTCAAGAAAATAGAAATTAAGTCATAACACAGATAGTATTCATATATATAGATGCCAGCAGGCCTAAGGAGTTAAAAATAAGCTATTTAGGTATTCTCCTGATACATACTGCCAGAACTCTGGGAAGCACAGAATTACTTCCTCCTGAAGCACAGAATTACTTCTCAACCCAGCAAGGTTTATCAACATACTGTGTTTATACAGTGATTTAGTGGAAAGCTGCACATTGCATAGACATGTTTCTGTTATTTACTTAGGCTAGCTCTGATGTCTGAGAATCCTGTTGGGATATGAGGAGCCTGGCTTCGCTGAAGAGCTACACTGTTGTTCCAGACAACTAATTCCATCCTCACCTGTTTTTAAATAGTCATTAAAGGGACATTCAAATGTGAATGACACCAAGTCAGAAATTTTAGCTAGACAACACCAATACAACACCACTTTTGTAGACACACTGTGATGACTTAGTAATTTTAGGACTTTGTTACTAATTTTTTTTCCTTAGGATTCTTTCACTCTTATTCCATTCATAGAAAACATCAATGCATTGGAAATCTTTAAGCAGTACAAAGCATAGGAAATCATTGTTTGTAAAACTTTTCTTCTTTGTTATGTGCTTTGAACAGCAGTGTTACATTTTGACTCATCTAAGCTAAGCAGTTTCACTTCATTCTTCTGACTACATAAAATGCTTTAAAATGACTGTCGCTAAGCATCTCAAATTTGATAGGCATAATTAGTTATCAATAATTCTGATTTTCATAAAACTATTTTACTATATTACTACAGCACTCACTCAGATTATCCAGTGAGATCCACCCTTGGAATTTTTCAAGGTTCACCCAGACAAAGCTCAGGCTGACCTGAGCTACCACTCACACTTCAAGTCGGTAGATGGATTACAGTCTTCAAAAGTCCCCTCCAAAGAACACTTCTCTGATTCTATTATACTGACCATTCATAATTTTGCTCTGTGCCAGTTCACAAGTGAGAATAAATAAGGTATTTTCTAAGGAAAATATACCCTCAGTTCAAATGTACATTTGAGCATTGGACATCTGCCTTTTCTTCCTATTACATGACTTGCACAAAAAGACAAAGAAATACTTGTTTCGTACTTGTCTTCTACCGTCTTTGAGTGTATCTCAAATTATCTGGAATGAGATTCTCCTTTAGAATCTCATTACCAAAAGCTAACTAAAAGCCATTTCAATTAACTTATACATTAATTCTGATGAAATACAGTTTTTAAATGGTCAATCTCAATGTAAAGAGTAACAATTACCACCAGGTGTAGGCACAGAAATCCAGACTGCAATGACAATATGTTTCCAACAGCCTGTGGAAGAAATGTTCCCTAGAAATTTGATCTGCGTCCATTAGAAATGGACTTCTCAGGCTTAGCTAATGCCTCCCGTTACACTAGAAAGCATGCAACACCTATGTGTCTAATACAAATCCCAGACTGCAGCACTTCATATGTGAAGTCCTTTTGTAACTTCTCTGACGTTCATTAAAGGAGGAAAGGAAAGCAGAAAGGGATTTTTTCATGCTGCTTCTCCCAGCTGCCATGGTACCCTGCAGCAATAGGCACAGAACGGGCACAAAGCTGTTTTTTCACTGAAGTCAAGCATAAAAACTCATGCTTATTTCAAGGTCATTAATTTGTTTATAGCTGGTTTCTTGAAAGATAGAAATCAAAACTTTCCTTGCCCTATTATGTAATTGCCAGTGTTGCCAAAACACTACACTGTTCCACTTATTTCATTTATCCTGCTTTTTTTAAAAAAAATCAAAGCTTAAATATGATTTAGTTTATTAATAGCTGATAAATTTTTTTCTTCTCATCAATAGAGTGAAACATATGAATTTGAATATGGGAATTCTGAGTCAGCTATCAATCACTCACCTGCTCTGGACTGCTACAGTCATTTGTCAACATGAAGACTATGATTTTGGGGATGAATATGATGAAGAGCTGGATCATGAACATCCGTATTATTTTAATTTTCATCCAAGTACACAAGCTGAAGTTCCCCATTTTCCTTTTCCAGTTGAGTGTGCCAGAGAATGCTTTTGCCCACCAGCTTTTCCATTATCAATGTACTGTGATCATCGTAAACTTACAACAATACCAAATATCCCTGCTCAAGTCCAACAGCTCTATCTGCAGAACAATGATATTGAAGCTGTGCTCACAGGACCATTTACTAATGTCACCATCTTAAGAGAAATTAACTTGAACTACAACAAAATTAAATTTCACATGATTGACCATGGTGTTTTTGCCAAGCTTTCAAACTTAGTACAGCTTCATTTACAGCATAATGAATTAAAAGAATTTCCATTCCCACTCCCCAGCTCTCTAGAGCGACTCCTCCTCGGTTACAATAAGATTTCTCGGTTATCTGGAGATGCGCTGCAAGGACTGCCCAACATAACCATGCTTGATCTCTGCAATAACCTTCTTGATGACTCAGCACTCAATGGAAAACACTTTTCAAGTCTCAAAAATTTAATGCAAATAAACTTATGCAACAACAGATTACAGACCATGCCTCCTGATCTACCACCTTCACTTATGTATCTCTCTCTTGAAAATAATTCTATTTCTTATATTCCAGAAAACTACTTTAGTAGACTTCCAAAACTCACTGCTCTAAGAATGTCACACAATAACCTGCAGAACATCCCACCTAATGCCTTTAACTTACCCAACCTTTTGGAACTTAACCTTGGGCACAACAAACTGAAGCAAGTATTCTACATTCCAGGAAGTTTGCAGCATTTGTATATTGAAGACAATGATATTGAAAGTATGTTCTTGGTTGTAATTCCGTCAAAGTAAAACACCACGGGTTTGGAGGCTTGCTTTTTTGGGGGGTAGGGGGATACAGAGGAGGCTATGGCCTATTTTTCCTACTATCCTGATTTAAGAACTTTTAACCTAAATCATAAAGTACTGAAAACACATCTCTGTTTTCAGTTTCCAGCACTTTCCACCAGACAGCTTCTCAGTTAAGCCACGTATATATAAACCGAGTATAGAATCCTGCAGAGGTCCACACGTGCACGTGCTTCAAGGTGTAATCTCACGTCCCTCCTGCAGAGAGGTGAACTTGACTATTCATGCTCTGAGCTAACCATTTACTGTGGCACTGACCCAAAATCCACACCCCGTGTACTTCTCAGGAGTAAGTTCAGCTTTTGATTCTAAGCAAGAGAAACATCCAACCATCTTCTTCAAGATGCAGCATAAACATATTGTTAGCTAGTCAAGACCAGACAATAGGAAAACTTGAAGAGATTTTGCATCTTCCTCATAGTTTTCAAGAAGATTTTTTAAGAGCCGGCACCATTTCTTTCCACACAAATTAAAACCTTTTAAAAAATTCCCTCTGATGAGACAATTGATTAAAAAAAAAAAAAACAACACACAAAAGGATTTATGAAAATATTCCATTCATATAAAAACCCCTACAAATAAGAGTAGTAGTCATTTCTTTTACCCTACAAATTTAGACTAAAAAAAAAAAAAAAAACACTAATATTTATGAAATTACTCCTAAAACAAAGGCAAGGATAATATTAATATTGTGAACCAAAAAAGTATTTTCTGTTGTAAATGTTAAAGTTACATCGTAATTCTGCAATTGCTCTTAAATGTGACTTTATTTTCTATTTTTTAATTAGTGTTTTTCTCTCTCTTGCAGCCATAAATGTTACTTTGATGTGTCCATCTATTGATCCAATGAAAATCAAACAATTGACTTATATACGGGTGGACCAAAATAAGCTTACAGTTCCAATAAGCACATATGCATTCTTCTGCTTCCCTCACATAAGAACCATTTATTATGGTGAACAGAACGGTAACAAGTCGACACAGCTAAGGACACCAGTGTTCCGCCGACTTTTAACACCAGAAGAATATGATGAAGCAGATGATGATCAGGAAACAAATGATCGTGAAACTGAAGAAGATCACGAACCTGAAGACAATTATTTTCACAATTACTTCTAATGAAGCAATCATAGTTAATGAGTATATATGGAAACCCTTCCTTTCTTGTGGGATATTAATATCCATTTTAGAGCAGTTGGCTAGTTTAGGATATTTAAGACGTATCTATCAAGCAGAGGTAGGAATTTAGTGTACATAAGTAAACCATGATTGATGTAGTTAGAAATAAAATAATAGCAGTAAAAACAAAGCACTCATGTCAGCAATAGACAGCAGCCTGTGCATGATGGACTCATTTCTGGATTGGTAGCTTATAATGAACAATATGAAAGCTCGTCTTACCTAAATTGCTATCCCTACTAGCTAGATTAAAGCTAGCACAGATTTTTTTGCTTGCGCTCTAGATGCTTTGAAGACATAACAAAGTTATGGGGAATATAAATAGCATGAAGAAGCTCACGGGAGTAACTAGTAATTTAAACGATATCCCAATATTACACCATAATCCATACAGCAAATAGTTTAGGATACCTAAACATTTTTATTACACTAACAACTACCTTTGCATTCCAACAAATATTTTAAATTGTAGTGAAGCCAGATTGCAACAAATTTGTGCTAAGAAAAAGCATGCAAAAAAGTTTATCTCAACTAATTGTGTAAATATATGCAAAGACCACCTTCATCTGAGGAAAAAAAATGTTTAAGAAATTAATACTAAAGCTGGACTGACTTTTCATTTGGCATCTTCATTATATAAAAGAGAAGCATAGACCATATTTTAGTACAATATTTGAGTAATTTTTGCTGTGAAGAAATTACATATAAAGTAAAAACCTCCATTCACAGTGCAATTGGAAGAAAATAGATATGAAGGGTCTATTTTGTTCTAAAGTGAGCCTACTTGCAAAATGAAAATTATACAGTTGAATACCATGTGGATAAAAACAATAGTCTTTCCAGCTAGGTATCCTAATATTGACAGCAGTAGAAAACAGATAAAATGGCAAAAATAATTATAAACATTCCTCCACATTTTATAGAAATGTAGACACTTCAGCTTTCCACCCCTCCCCCCAATAAAAGAAAAAAAAAAGAAAGAAAAAAAGGTAAATTTAGAATTTCAAAAAATCTTCAGAATCTGTTTGCAGAGTCCTGCAAATAGGTACTATACTACACTTTTGCTTCTCAGTTTGTATGTCATCTATCACAACAACTATTCACAAAGGAAGGTTATCAAAGGTTTTAGGATCTCGGGTAAAGGACGTGCATTAATATAACTCTATACCATTAACACTACCATTATGTGTATAGATTAATGGATATTGTTTTAGAAGCATTAAATTTTAACAATTTTTGTTACAACTGTTCATCAAGCAGAAAAAAACACAAATAGTAGCATACCATTTTTAAAAATTATTAGCCTTTTGCACAAAGAATACCAATTAACTACTTTATTCTGTTTCAAAGTAAAAAGACAAATTGCTTTAAGCAACCTAAAAAGAATGCAGTATAATATTTGAGCTACAGATTTTTATTATGCCTTATGTCTAGAAATAGAATCAAATGCATACAGGGTGAGAGAATATTTAAGGGCACTTTGTCCCCTTTATTAAGTTCTGTATTTTTCAGCACTGAATTTCCTGATAAGCCTTTTCAGCATTATGGAAACACCACCATTTGCACAGGAAAAATAAATGAGTGTTAGAAAAACAGCCATATATGATATTGTTAAATATTTACTATATATTTAGAAACGTACATATACATATAGTATTATATATTTAGTTTTACAAATTCAAAAAATAAAGCTTGTTAACATTTATCAACCTCAGGTAGGCTTTTAGCTTCCTAAAGGAAGAACACATGTGTGTATTTATCACCTTATTTAAATACTCATATCAAAACCCTATGCTCGTTATATACACATAACATAGCTATAAATACTCATATCAAAACCTATCCACAGTATATACACATAACATAGCTATGATTCCATACCTTTTTTATTAATATATTATTAATATGAATATATAGTATTACTCTTAGGAAACATTTACACTTTTCATCTATTTCAGATTTTAAGTAGAGGTGAATAGGGCATAAAATGCAAATCGAAGTTAAGAGGCTGTTTTAAAAAAAATCTTGCTCAGCTTTAAAAAGAACACTATCCAAACAGAGTATAAGGATTCCAAGTGTGTATATATGGACATATATATGCTCCTTCTCACAGCTTTTCTATTCTTTAGAAGCAAACATAGATGAAACAAAGCTCAGTTTTAATTTTAAGGCAATGTGAAAGATACTGACTTTGTAGCAATTAAACATATGTTTAATAAAGGTTAACTCAAACTGTAATAATAAAGCTCAAAAGTTTCCAGTAATTATTACATTCACATGGAATATGAAATTTTTAATACTAGAAAAAAATACTTCATTTTTCATTCAATTAACATGAACTCATTCATGGCAATGCACTACTATTCTTTAAAGAAAGATTTCAGTGTGGTGAGTGGACTAAAGACTTGATAGTTTTCTGTTTATACCAGAGAAGTTAGGATAAAATACAGAATAAATAGCTACTTAGATAAATACAATATGGGTTATGTAAAAGAAAGTCCTAATTTGCAAACCTCTTGCAGTTCCTTGAAAGGATCATCAAGCACGTAGAAAAGGGGATCCTGGTCCATATTCTACAGGAATTTTTAAATGGCTGAACTAAGGAAACTGAGCAGTCACAGAACACAGGTAAGCGCATGGCCAAAAAGCAAGCAGTCACCCAGTTCCTGTACAGCAGGCAGCTGCCTGCTGGCAGTTTTGCAAAGGGCACGTGTGTAAATCTATGCCATTTAATACATTTGCTGAAGATCAAGGAACAGGGGTAAGCAGTCAGGTAATGACAAAGATGGCCAAGGGCCAATGAAGACTGACCAGGTGCAAAAAACCTCACAAAACCAATTGCCAGGATGATAAAACAGCAAATGAGGGACCCTGAACGATCACCATTACTCAGGAGCAAGATTCAGGAGGTAGATGACATGATTCCATGAAAACAGGGGCTGAATATGCTGTGTGAGCAACCACTAATGCCCTAGAGCAGAAGGCTGAGAGGAGACTGAGACGGGCAAGTGCTCACGAAGCTCAGGTAAGAATGCAGGGCTGTTGCATTCTTGTTGCAACAGCTGTTGCAAAAAAAACTGAATTCATCTCAACACGAAGGGGTCCAGAGGGTGGTCTTTAGTGCAAGGATCAATGTGTGTAGATCAAGAAGCTGTGTAAATGTTTTTCCTCGAGTTCATCAAAAGTGTGCACACAGCTCCTTGAATTAGCATAGGGGAAATTTTGTACATATGTCATAAAAAGAAAAGGATAAGAGAAAGACAATAGGTGTACCAGAGATAAGGAAAGGCTTTTAGATTAGCCACACACAGTAGTTCAGAAAAGAAATGGCAAAGGTCTACAAAATTTTAACTTGCACGGACAGTGTGGGTAGGGGTCAACTGCTCACTGCCTTCTCCAGAAAAAGAACAAAGAGGCATCAAAAGAAACTAATATAGGAAAGGTAGAAACCAAGCAGAGATGATTTTTCAACCAATGTGTAGTAAGCCCTTGAAACTGCTTGCCTGAGTGGATGCTGCAGCAATTTTACATATAGGTTCAATGGAAGGATAAATTAGTAAACATATTTCCTTGAAGAGATTCAAAGACAGGCGGTGACTAGACAAATCACATAGTGTAAGAACAGCTGAGCTGAAAATAGCTATAGGTTGGAAAAATATTTGGAGAAGTGAGATGAGGAGTTATCATGACTGCTCGTCCTATTCTCATCTTGCCAAGCACATGCTTTTGGCCTCTGTTGGCTATTCATTATTGCATGTGAATCTTTGCTTTGAACTGCCCATCCACTCTTACATTCATTCTGTCTTTTATTGTACTAACAAGCTGGCATTGCTTCTCCTACTAGTCTATGTTTATTGTCTCGAAACATTTGAGGGCCTTTCTTTTTTTTTTTTAAGCACCAGCAGGTATGTTTAAATACCAGGACATGGTCTTCATGAAGTTTGGAAATAGCATGTCTACAACGCTCCACATTGCAGCTTTTCCTAACAGACAAGCAGCCCAGGCATGCCAGTGTGAAGCTCTGTGTAAGCCAGTTTACATAACTACATAACCATATAGATTCTGGTATCAAAACACATTCCCTTGGTGTTTCTTCTAGTATTTATTTTCAGAGTATGAAACACAAAAAAAAACAAAAACGAAACATGTATCAAAATGGTACTTATTTTAATCAGGAACAAATCCACCCAGCAAGTACCAAATATTTTAATGAGCTTATTTATAGCAGAGAGTGAATATAGAATAAAACCTGATCTGGCTCACAGCACTGCCTGTCCGGTAGCAATTAGGGTAGGCCAATAGAAGTGATTCAGTGGAGCAAACAGTTGTGAGGCCAGGATAGACACTCTCTAGGGTCTTGGAGAGAAAGAAGGATCATTTACTTGAGCAGTCTTATCTTGTGAACTACACTAGCAGCTGCAGTACATCAGGTAACCCCCTGGAGTACAGCTGGTTTTGTTACATCCCAAAAGAAACAAGTCCATATGCTTTAAAGTGCTCTGCGATATGGAGCACAGTGCAGAAAGGAGGGGCTTATCAGCAGATTCACTTCAAAAAAGCACTCCTGATCCTAATTAAAACACTAACAGAAAGCGATCCAAAACACAGCAACTGAGAAACAAACTTGGGGTTGCACGTTCAGCTTTGGTCTAGTTATTGTACGAACTGTGCTGGCCAAGCCTTGCCTGAGTAAGTGAGGATGTCCCGAACCTTCTTCAACTCTAAGCGTTAGCATCACTAGTCATATCGGTGAGGGTCTGTCAGAGTGCTGTAGAACACTGATACCTATGTAAACCTAGAGGAGGAAAATACCTCAGAGATGCCTGAAAAAAGCTTCAAATGTGATTCAACTTAGCTCACAAAAATAAAGCTCTCAAAATTACAAACAAAACTGACAAACTCAGATTTCCCCCTACTTCCCAAAACTATACCACAAGAGACAATGCTAAAAATCAAAATAAAGAGAAGAATAATCAAATTTTATCCCAACTGTCTCCAGGCCTTCCTTTAGCTTCAAATCAGTGGCATTTTGCATTTTTTTGTTCGTTGTTTTTTAATACTTTAAGGCTTAGCTTTTCTGACTTTTACTTATATATTTTGATAAGATACATGGAGTAGGCAAGAAACTCCTTTATAGTCAACAGATGTTTTATATTTCCACTTTTCTGATTTCCTTTAAAATATTCTCATTCCATTGTTATAATATGAATCAATTTCCTTCATTGTTTCCTAACTTGATCATTGCAAGCAATAAACATAGGCATTTCCTATCTGAAAAATAGGAAAGGAGAACATAATATTTTAATAGAAAAAAATATACCCCAGAAGAGATTTGAAACATTAAGCAATTGTTTTCCATTACTACTATGAATATAAACTTTTCAGCTATAGACCAAACCACATATACGCTATTGTATGTTATGAGCTCTACACATATACACATAGTAAATTTTGCACTCCCCTACTGGGGCTTCAGCAAATGGCAGAGCAGCATATGCACCACACATAGGCAACAGTGAAAGCACATTGCTGTAGCATTGGGGAGACAAAAATAAACAAGAAGTCTCAATTCATCAGAATGCATTAAGGGTGAAGCAGAAGAGAGCTGCATTTTAGAAGAAGATAATGGAGAATGAGTCAGAATAGCTAAGTTACTTATTGTAGGAAGAAGAGGGAACAAAAAAAAAGAAAGAAAAGGCATTGAGTTCAATTTCAATATCATTTTATGCCTGTTTTCAATAACATTAAATGTGTGTTTCATTCTTCGCAGATTTCATGTCTTCACTCTGAATAAATATCTACCTGTTACTCTACGAAACCTTTTTTTTTTTTCCTACTGGTCCTTACATTCACTATTTTGTATAAGTGATTCCCAGTGTCCTTGAGGCTTGAGGAAGCTAAGCAATAATTCATACTGCTTTCTTCTGAGAACACTTAAAAAGCCAACAGAAAAACAGAAACTACAAGACATGCCAGTAATGTCCTTTAGAGACTATGATACAAGATGAAAGCCAAAGTCTTTAAGCAGCTGCAAAAATACACCTTGGTTGCCTAAATATAGAACCACCCTGAGCACTGTAAAGAAAAACAAAAACCGTCAGCTTCAGTTTAATTTCAGACAGAGGACCCTGACAATAACCTTATGGAACTCTCTCTACTGCTCTCTCCTAGTCATCTGTATTACTAACTTACCTACTTTATTATTAATTTACCCAAACTGGCCCAAAATCAAGATCCTTTTCGTGTGGTTTTTTTCCCCTCCCCCATGCCCTCTTCCTAGTCTTCTGCCTCCCATCACACAAGCCTGAGCCCCACTCCTGAACAGAGCTCCCAGGGAACTTCCAGAGCGTTCTGGAAAAGCCATTTGCAACCAAAAATCCCACAAAGAGGAAGGGCTACCCCTCCGGTTACAACCTCCTTGGCTCATTCAGCTCCACACTGTGCCTTCAAGGTATTGCCTCACACAGACAACCACCATCATCCAGCCCTCAGTTTCATTTTCAAATGCATTACAGCATTTTAAAAATCAATGTTAAATTAAGTACATAAAAAAAAAAATCTTCTATCTCCTAGGTACAATACTATTAAGGATTAAGTACTAAACATGCTCTGCTATGGAGCTAAATAACACGCTAGAAACTGCAAGAACTTGTCTTGGCTGAAACACGTGGAAAATAAAGACAGCTGCCCTCCCAATTAAACTGAGGTCATTTTATCTGGCAACTCATCCTGGATGAACTGCTCATGGTAACTTCTACAGCATTCCCCTGCACGATTTCGTTTTTAAGGAAAACTGTCTTTTAATATGCAACCCTGCTCCTTTAAATTTCTTATGTTTCCTTAAGTTTAAGATCCTTAAGTTTTCAGAGAGTAGAATCCAGAAAGTGAGTGTTCCTTGTTGGAGTGTCTTGGATTCCCTCTACTAGAATTGAGACCATGTTATACTTCATTTAGGCCTTCAGCTACATTTCACATCTGTATAAAAGTGTATGGAAATTAATATTATTCTGATTTAAATCAGAATTTTTTTTAATGCTGTTAGTAAAATAGTCATTTTAAACAATATTTCAGATACATATGTTTTTTGGGAAAAAAATCAATCTTTGAAATGAGATACTGAAACCTCTCAAAAAAGAGATGCACCTGACAAATCAGAAAGCCTCCCTTCAATATTTTTGTACCTAATTTATCATTCTTGTATGTAAACGTTCACGAGTTTCTCACATGCACTTAGATCACAGAATCACAGAATGCTCAAGGTTGGAAGGGATCATCTAGTCCAACCCCCCTGCACACGCAGGGTCACCTAGAGCACGTGGCACAGGACTGCGTCCAAGCGGGTTTGGAAGATAACAACAGTGAGTAGGTGGTGAGTACATGCAGTGTTTTTGTGCTAAGAATGCCACTCAAGTCTTACAAACCTGCTAAACACAGACATTTGAAAACATTTTCTGCAAAAAAACACACAGAAGTTTTCTAACATTACAGATCCTCTTCTTGAGATCAGAGTAAGAACTTCCTTGCACTAAAGCTTCCCAGATTTTCAAAAGCTCATTTAAGTAGTAATCATACCTAATTTTTAAAAACTGTTGGATATTATGGGGGGTGTGAGAATAAAGCATTCCGAGGATATTCCATATATCTGTCAAGGCTTTACCACTTAAAAATAAACTTATATCATATTTTGATATTTTTTACCTTAAAGGATTTACACTTTGATTGCATTCAAAAATAAGAATTTTTATTTTCCAGAGCAAAATGAAATCTTAACCTGGATATTTGGGAGAGGGGTTTGGGAGGTGATCCAGTGGAAGACAAAGAAAGCAAAGCTGCTGTCTTTAATCCTGAAACATGCATGAACTGGTGAGAGTGAGTTGATTTACTCCGATATTTTTGCCTGATGATGCAAAATCATCTTTTCTATCAAAACCAGTGCTTCGTACTGAGAGTTCCCAGGCCCTGCAATTGAAAACACCTTAATATACTAACCACAAAACTGGAATTCAAGTTTCAGCTTGTTATTGTTCCAGCAGAACAGCAAGGGGTATGATTCAGAATCCAGTTTCCAGTATTATGGTTCTCTTACCTTTACATTTCAGATATATACTCCAAGAAAATCATTATTGTGGAGCGTGCTGTAAACTGCAACTATGACATAGTTTAATTTGCCTATGAAGTGAATTAAAAGCATTGTGAAAAAACCCTACTCAGTTCAGAATTTGGTAAGTTGTTATAAATTGGAAAAGAAATAAGAGAGCAAATGGCTTATTGGCAACTCTAATTTACAGATTTATTTACTACAGACATCCAGTTTCCAAAAGAGACAGAACTTACAAGAAAATATAACTCAGTAGGTCCACTGTTTATCCTCAACATTATTCTGACTGGCAGTGCTGTCTAAGAAAAAAAAACCCCAAAACTGTGGAAATGAAGGAAATATAGTTCTGAATATATCTCCAAAACTGTTTAATTGCTACACTGTTTTTAAAAGACTCAAAAAAATCTACTTTGTAAACTTTGAAGCTGGTCATCTGGCTCCCATTTATACTAACTGCCAAAAATAAATAGCAAGAAATAAGATGGGGGAGGAAGAAATGGATTAGAAATCTAGAAAACTGCTAATAGTTCTAAAGTTCAGATGAAAATTCTAAGCCTGGACATTGTTTATGAAGCTGTCTATACTATTGGCACACAGTTTTACTGAAAACATTTATTCTGAAAATAATCTTTCAATAAATTGACTAGCAAGACATGTAATAAAGTATTAAAACACAAATTACTTGTCTGAAATTATTAATCAAAAAACAGTGTTTTGTTTTTTGTTCAGTGTTCAGACTTGATTTGCCTTTCATACTTACTTGAATCTTCTCTAAACATATACAACTTGCAATGAAACATTTTATTACTCATAAAAATGTGACTAATATAGTATACGTATGTTTTGGCTCTACCTCTGTCTCAGGCAGAAAGCAGCTGCTTTGTCTCTTAGCTAAACCAATGCACAAAATGGATAACACATGCCTTGTTATAGACCTCTATTTTGCAGAATTAATATTTAATTTACACAAAGAGCTTTAGCAATTATAAGAAAAAAATCATCATTTAGTATAAAGTTACTATTTTAATGGTAGCAAGTAATACTAAAGTGGGATGATCAAGACACATTTACCATTTATAAATGTTATTCCAAGTACAACCCCCTGCTCCAGGA